GTCAAGTAGGAAGATTCCATGTCAACGAGACGTATCACCGTCTTCTTACTCTCGTCACGAAATCTTTCCAAGGCCTCATTTGAAGCAGCAGCTATCTCAGCTTGTAAAGTGGGAAAGCGCTTTAATTCCTAAAAGTCCAAATCAAAACATGAACAAATTTAAAATATATATATATATATATAGTCTTGTAACAAATCCTCCTGAGGAACTCAAAAGCTAGAGCACCAGTATAATTTACCTGTGTTTCTCCAATGGACTTCCTCACAAGTTCTTTTAAAACAAAGTGAACCTAAATGGAAGTTTCATATGTAAGAGGCTCTCAAAAATGACTAGAACGTAAAGACTAATAATGACATCCAATTAAAAGAGAAGCTAAAAGAAGTGACTTACAGCATCCACAGAAGCCTCAGCTGGCCCCCTGAAATAATTCAGAGATCCCTCGATTAGTCGTCGGTAACCTTGTTCGGGAGCAATCAAGTGAGGTTGATAACCATCTGCCTCCGAGACAATTTTTCTCACATTCTGCATGGAAAGATGGCGATCGAAGGGAAGCTTTCTCAAAGCAGCAGGAAGCTGGTGGTCGAAAACCCCATAGATACGATCACCTCCAGGCCGCCTAGAAGAGAAACAAAAATTATGAAATCTCTAGCTTTCTTCGCCTTTGAGGGAGAAAATATTCATCTCTAGCTTTCTTCGCCTTTGAGGGAGAAAATTAAGAAATCATTGTTTGTTCATAAATATGATACCTACATTCTATATATTCAGAAGAAAAATCATAAAGAACTGAAGATAAGAATTTTATAAAACACTATATACTATACCCTCCTTCCAGGTGCTCCTTAAAAATCCGATCAAAAGCACGGCAAAGTTCCAAAATCGTGTACAATTGAGCCTGAGATGAAATAGGTAAGTAAAAGTGTAACGATCAGAACACACTTCACAATCTATAACAAAAGCAATATGTTTCTCACCCCAGCATCGACAGCAATGGGTCGGCCAAGATGATCCATCTCAGATTCAAGTTCATCAATGCTTTTGTTAATCAAAGAAGTGATACTGGGTATCCGAGCTCTAATCACAGACTCCAAGTGCTACAAGAACAAGAATGCACGATAACAATGATTGCCTTTTCTAGCATAACAAAAATTTCATTTAAAGACAATAAATTTGGAACCTATAACCAAACCTTTGATAAGAGCTTTGCGAGATACTCTGAACCCATTTTACTTGCTAAGTGTCCATAGTCAGAACTAGTTGCAAAGTACTCACGCTCCTTACGCCTAGCAATAATCATATCTACATTTTTGTTTATGTCAGCTTGAGATCGGTTCACTATGCCAACCCATGGGTGTTGCAGTCGATATGATCTTCCTTCCAATACCTTTAGGAATAAAAAGAATATATATGTTTTTAATTCCTCCTTTAATTTAAAAACTAAGGATATATATGCAACATTGAATCTCTGAGCGTTACACGTTCTAATTGTAACGACCCAAGTCCACCGCTAGCAGATAGTGTCCTCTTTGGACTTTCCCTTCGGGCTTCCCCTCAAGGTTTTTAAAACGCGTAGGCTAGGGAGAGGTTTCCACACCCTTATAAAGAATGTATCTCTTCTCCCCACCCAACGTGGACTTGGGCCGTTACACTTATAAACTCATTAACAACTCATATCTTGTTGAGTTAAATATTATTTTAGCAAGGTTTTAATTAAAACTTACATCCAAAGCATTAGTTCCTTTGTCCATCAAGTCAAGCTTTGTCAACACTCCAAAAGTTCGTTCCCCTACTCAATTGCACAAGCAACAACATGATCATAAGCTTGGAAAGCTACAAAATTTACAGTTCCAATTCTGCAAAGAGAGAGAGAGAGAGAGAGAGATGAAAAAGGAAGAAAATACAAGCAGCGCATACCGGATGGGTCCACTTCCCTGGCAAGTTTTATAGCATCCGAAGTGGCTATGTCTTGATTGGCAGGAGAAATGGCAAGAATAATGCAATTAGGCTGTAAAAAAAACATGCAAAAAACAAATATCACATTTGATGTAATACACTTATAATTAACATTCGAGAAGGTAAGCACCACAACGTGTTCATAATTGCAATTATGAAGCTGTTATAAAGGTAAACAGAAACGAAGCGAACGCAAGAACCATAACTTGAGTACCCAAAGAACTTCATGTGCAAGGCTTGACCATTCATCACAAAATAATTATTACTGAAATGGAATATATAATCTCATTACCTTCTCAACATAAGTTCGAACCATGACCTCAATGTCTTGAACAATACTTTCGGGCTGTCCCTCTAATTTAAAAAGAAAAAAATACATCCATTATTAAACAATATATAAATCCTGCTGAACCAAATGTTTTTCAGCATAACATTTAAACATACCTACTGCAACTTTTGTCAAACCAGGTAAATCAATCAGAGTTAGGTTGACAACTGAAAAACGAAAGAAACCAAGAGTTAGAACATTTCAATATTAATGTACTCAATCAACCTTACAACGGTCGGTGTATAAAATAAGTAAATAGGTGTTAAGATTGTCCTGAAAATTCCATTCTGGTTAATCACTTCCAAAAAGATTAGCTTTGTTGTTCATTAAGATGGAACATAGCAATAAAAGAAGGCAAACAAATGAAAAAAAAAAAACCATTATAAATGATACAAATACAAATTATGGGTAATTAGTAAAGTAACAGTGAACACCAACAAATTGAACCAGAGAAGGATCACCAAGAAGACCATTATATATATAAAATTGACATTGTTCAGGCAACCGAGGATCGAACGAATTCCCACAACCATGGTAAATGAGCCATTCATTAAAGAATCAACGGGCAAAAAGGAGATACCATTTGGTGAGTAAATGCTAAGATGGATAGGAACTGGGGATATCTGCTTTGTCCTCCCAGTTACTCTGTCGGTCTCATCCTGAATTTCTTTCCGGACCGCAGCTGTAGAACATTACAACAAGAGGAAATGTTGAATCCAAGTAGAAGATAGAACAGACAAATTACAACAAATAGAAAATAGAACAGGCAATTTAGAACACATCGAAATGGCAGACAAGCAAGAACACATTGAAATGGCAGCATACCAAAGTCCGTAAATCTCCTCTTGGGAAGGTGAAGAAACTCAGCATACTCTTGCGACCCCTCCTCTGTCTTGTGAAGCTGCAATACTAATGGCCGCCGCGTTACTATCCCTGGAATTATAAACAAGTAACCAATTAAGCAGTGTAAATTAACAAGTAAACTAAGCAATTCGAAGTAAACCAAGATCAAATGCCTCACCTGAACCTCTCGGAAGAAAATCGCGACCAACGATACTTTCAAGAACCGAAGATTTTCCAGAACTCTGTTCATGAGAGAAATAAACAAACAGTGAGAAATCGAACAGAAGTGATTCATTTTGATTGGTGAAAAACTCATTCCATCTCCCTAAAACCCTAGCCACGAACGAATTCTTCAGCAACCTAACTCCACTTTGAAATACTAAAGCCGAAACTCCTCCTCGACAATAGTTCCTCGAACGCCGACGAGAATTTCCAACAGTTGCTACAGAAGTAACAAAAGAAGAAACGAAAATCAAGAGAAAATTGAGAAAGAGAAGTAGAACCTGTCCACCGACAACAGCAACAGAGGGAAGGGCTTCCCAGAGAGAAGAAAAGGCGTTATCACCACCGCCATAGTCACCGAGCATAGTACAAGCTCTCTGGATCCGATTCACCAACCCAATCAAACTCTCCATGGTCGTCATCTTCAAACACCACCGAAAGAAATCAACAAAGAAAACAATCACCTCCCTCGCAAAACCCTCGAAATCAAGCACACAAAACCCAAAAAACAAGAAGGTAAGAACGAGAGAGAATCAGCAAAAAAGAAGGAAGAGAATTTGAGAACTGTTTTGAAGAATCAAACAGAAGATGAATGGACAAAAATTGAAAGAGCTGTGGAAGAAATGGCCTGGGTGCTCGCCACTTTACTTTTTGGACAGTCGTCAGAAGCCCGTTGAAAACGGCTAAAATGCGCTTTTGCTCCGGACAATTGTTAAGCTGTTGATGGGGGCTTTTAGCTAAAATACACCGCACGTGTAAGTCACGTGCGAATTTTCAAATTTTGAATTTGAATATTTAAAAACTTTTTTTATATGAATGTTGTAACGGTGGGCCCCACGGGATGGGAAGTTCCACAAAGAAAAAGCTGGTGATAAATTTGTTCGTTATTGGGATTGTTGGCAATGACGATTGCATCCCACGATTTTATTTTATTTATTTATTTTTTTTTTTTTCAAATTAAAGTATTGTTAACGGCTTTGTCTTAGCCGGCCCGGTTCGGTCCATTTAGCCCGATCCGATCGGCTTTTAAAATTGCTTAAAATGTTCCTATTAGAAATTAAGAACTAATCTGGCGTTTGTTTGTCCTCTTCTAATAATGCATACGTAATTATAATTATATTGGAAAACATCCATAAATAAACAATTCTTCCTTTTTCCAAGGGAAAATTAATTAAAGACTAAATATAGTTTAAAGGTCAAGCTCAGCCATAAATTTCCTGATCCATTGTCCTAGTAAATTGAATCTTTAATGTTGTATTAATAAGAGTCATTCGATGTGGCTCAGTACCGTGTAAAGGGAATCAACCCCTAAACGAAGGAATTTTAATGTAAAGAAAGTTATAGATTCGTTAGATCTACTCTATAATTGTTGAACTCGAAAAACAAAAAACAAAAGCCAACAAGCCAACTTCCGTCGTTCCTATAAATATAAATGCTACTAAATTGTCCCATTTCAAAACATTTGGACTCATAGAAATAAGTGGTAAATATACATAAGAATCTCAATCCAACAAAATTATAGCACCAAAAATTGCATTAAAATCGCTTTAAAATTGAGATCATACAACAAAAATCCCATAATTTGAATATAAATGCTGTTCATGGGAGATAAAATTACCAACTCTGAAAATATTTGGAAAAAGATAGATCATGAACGTATAAACAACTCTGCTCTTTGTGGCTTCCTTGCATTAGAAAATCTTGTAACGTGTGGCATTCTACACAGTTACATGAAATATTATTATTATTCTGTTCTTTTCAAAAACAGATCAATACTGCTTGGAATGAAATAATATTATTATTCTGTTCTTACAACAATAAATCAATCCTGATGGTAAACTACTGTCGGGTAATCTGGATCCCACATGTTGTTCTTCACAAATTCCAAAATTTGTTCCTGGAAAAGAAAACAAATATGAAAATTGCATTACTCATGGTGATGTCTTTGACTTATAATTTGATTTGAATGATTAGTCAACTACAAGTACGATCCCGTTATGTGCTTGAACAATCCTTTTTTTTTTTTCATCTTTTGAGTTCAACAAAGTAGAGATTCAATGTAACGACCCAGATCCACCGTTAGCAGATAAGTCCTCTTTGGACTTTTCCTTTCGAGCTTTCCCTCAAAGGTTTAAAACGCGTCTGCTAGGCGAAGGTTCCCACACCTTTATAAATGGTGGTTTGTTCTCTGCCCAACCAATATGGGACATCACAGTCCACCCCCCTTCCCCAATGTGGGGCACTCTTTCCTTCCTCCAATCAATGTAGGACCGCCCCCAAAACCACCCTCTTTAGGGCCCAGCGTCTTTACTGGCACACCATCTCGTGTCTACCCCCCTTCGGGGAACAGCGAGAAGGCTGGCACATCGTCCGGTGTCTGGCTCTAACACCATTTGTAACGACCCAGATCCACCGCTAGTAGATATTGTCCTCTTTGAGCTTTTCCTTTCAGGTTTCCCCTCGAGGCTTTAAAACACGTCTGTTAGGGGAAGGTTTCCACACCAATGGTGGTTTGTTCTCCTCCCCAACCAACGTGGGACATCACATTCAAGATTTTGACCTCTTGATTTAGAATATATATTCGAACTAGTTCAACCATGTTCATTGACTTTAACAATAGTTTCAACTTCATCGAAAAATGCCTAAAAAGTATGAATCATGCATGGAACGTCTGTGATTACTGTTTAAAGTTTCTAAAAATACCTTGTTAAATTTTTGGAGTTCTCGAGCATCTACATCACGGTATCCTGCAACAAGATCCTCTTCTATCGCTTCCATAATAACAGCTGCAGCGATTTCCTTTGTAATATCACGGATTCTACAAACAAAAACATGAAACTTCTCACTTTCTCATCTCAATCCTAAAGAGAAGTATATAAACATCAAATAAAGATGATGAATTACCTGGAAATTGATGGATAAATAATTCCTTCGTGGACTTCATCTTCAGTCATATATGCAGCGAGGCTGTTGTTACAAATAGAATGACAGAATCATTAGTTTGAAGATATTCCTGCTCATTTTATTTTGTGGTCATTGTGTCTATGATTCTTAAACTTTTAATTTTCTGCCTAATAGATATTTGACAAATTCGAAACTTTTAAAATGATTATTAAATATAAATTTGAATTGTACATCTAATGGAATCTTAAAGCTTTTAATTTTATTAGTAATTTAACCTTATCGAAAAGAATTGCTTTGACTCCTTTCTTCAAGTATAATAGCCAAAGCCCACCGCTAGCAGATGTTGTCCTCTTTCGGCTTCCCCTCAAGATTCATTTTTGAAACACGTGTGCTAGGGAGAGATTCTCACACCCTTATAAAGAATGTTTTGTTCTCCTCTCTAATTGATGTGGGATCTCACAATCCACCCCCTTTTGGGCCCAGCGTCCTCACTGGCACTCATTTCTTTCTCCAATCGACGTGGGCTCCAATTCACCCCCTTTAGGGTCTAGTGTGTTTGCTGACACACTGCCTCATGTCCTCCCCTTTGAGGTTCAGCCTCCTCGCTGGCACATCGCACTGTGTTTGGCTCTGATACAATTTGGAATTAGCTCAAACCTACCACTAGCAGATATTGTCCTCTTTAGATTTCCCCTCAAGATTTTCTACTCTCCAATCGATGTGGGACTTCTATTATACTTGGTAAAAAATTTCTCTTCGTCCAGAAAAAACAAAGACCCTTTTCCAGTCAAGAGTTCTTTCTAGCTACCGCACCAACCAAGTCCAAACTTGAAACAAAAAGTTACACTATGCTATACTGCAAAATGACTAAATTCCATCCGTCTA